GTAATTGAAGCCCTAAATCATTCGGGTTCTTTTAGCAATCCTTTTGTTTTGTGTTAGAAAAAAATAAAAATGTTATTCACCAGCATAGGTCGGTCCGTATTAGGAAAAACTGTGCCCTCTGTCTTGTATCCAAGACCTCGGGCACAGTTTTTCCCAATACGGACCTCCCGGCTGGTGAATAACATACATTTCTTTCTTCTCTCTCTCTCAAATCACTTTGGTTTTTCCGCAAAAATTGATTTCGAAATAAATTGTGTGGTACTAAATTTGTTTTTAAAAAGGTTGAAACGCGGCGTAGAAACAATTTGTAATTCAATAATCCTTCCCAAAAAGTCACTCAGAAAGTTAAAAAGAGAGGTAGTTGCAGTTAAAAATTACTTTAATCAATGTGACTCTCAATCGCTAATATCTGAATTCTTCAACGCAATTTTGTTCGTTTGTGAAATATTAAGCGAAGTTTTGAGTTCTTCTATAAGTACACTTTCGCCTATTCTTTGCAAGTCCCTTGAATTTGGACATTACTACCGTTAATTTCACAACAGTAGCTGAAGGAATTCGATGAATATAAGTCGCATTAAATCCCCTTGTGTCTAGCAGGAAAGAGTCTCATCGACTTCAGCTTTTCGGTGGAAGAAAAACAGATTTACACCTATCCAAGACCTCGGGCACAGTTTTTCTCAGTACAAACCTCCTGCTGGTGAATAACATATATGTATTTTTACGAGTTGTGCCGTATTTTGACGAGCCCGTAGGACTGCGGGCTACGAGCCCGTAGCCCTACGGGCCCGTTATCTGTATTTTGACTCGCCCTACGGGCTCGTCAAAATACAAATAACGAGTAAAAATACTCAGCAATACTACACAACAAAACGTCTAATAAGCTATTTATCATCGAACACGCCAAACTGTTATTTCAGTGCGGTCGAATTTCGCGGATATTTATTTACGGGGAGTGCGTTACAGAAGAATGCGAAGCGGAACGGAATTGGCGCCATGTCGTGTTGCTGTTTCTATTTTCTTCAATAAATAAGAAATTTCCTGGTCGTCTAGCTGCATTTCTTCGTTGGATTCATCTAATAAACTTGGATGTATATTTGCCAGCCATTCTCACCCGTCTTCGTCGGAAATATGATTCAAATTGTCCGCCATTTTTTTTTTCCTAACTATAATTCAACTCTTCGCTCGCGCGATGCGAGAAAACCTGTTTAACCGGTACTCTAGAGTACAAATACCGCGTGATATTTATACTCGTCTATGGCGTTATTTGTACTCTACGAAGTGTAGTTGGATAATACAAACAGAAACTCTCACGGCGGAAATCATGCTTCTCGGCAGAGTTACCGGAAGTGGATCTTTCAGCGATGAGGGGTTACACAGCCACTAGCAATATGGCGGAAACTCAGTTGCACGGCGAGAATGATATAGAAATTCCAGAGTCCTTACGCGCGTTGCAGAGTCAGTGAATGAGATGTTTGAAATAACAGCCTTAACGTCTGCAAGTATTCTGGGAGGGTTTACCGGGCAAAAACATTGGCAGTTGAACGGTGAAAAAATCCAAATCACAATAAAGTTTCATCACGATTGTGTTGTCCGCAACCCAACACACTCCATGTGCCTTCCTTTAGTCGGTGCCTGTGCCATGCAAGTAACATTTCCAGTGAGCCACATGAAAACCTATGATGATTTTAAAAATGTATTTATAGTAGAATTTTCCAAAGGACAGGCCTTTGGAAAGCCATGAGGTGGAGGCTGCAAATAACTCAAACTGTTGATCTCAGTGCAGCTTCCAAATCACCATTAATTTTTTCTTGTTTCCTCGTACACCATTTATTGGTCTGTTCATATTGGGCAAAAATTTTTTGTAGAAACGATAACTTGTTTTTTCAGTTTACGTTTTAGTGGAGAAATATGTAGCAAGAAAACGATGGGCTCTTGCTTTTACAGTACTTGTCACAATTTTTTCTACTCTAAGAATTATATATGTAAAGAACGTGTTTTTTTTTTAATTTAAAATAACTTGAGAATGTTTGTAAAGAAGAGCCTCTGGTGGTGAGGGCATTAGGCTCATACACCTGTTGCATGCTCAGTCTTTAGTTGCGTTCTTTTGTGGGAAACACCCACCCTTACGTTAGAGCGTTTAGTCTATAATTCTTGTCTGATTTTCAAAATGAACGAGTTTATAAGCGATTAAAGTTGACAATTAAAACTACGTTGGGAAGTTTAAAATAAAGAGTTTTGTTAGAGCGTTCATTTATGCATCACGGTCTTATTCTCGGTGGTGTAGCAACCGCTAAAATGATAAATTCCTGAAGTTACCTCCAAAATAGTTACCTCGGTGCTAGTCACATGCTTCCATGATAGGCAAACTGCTAAAGAATTTTGTAGAGCTCTAGTGCTTCTTTCCAATCAGATGGTTGCCTAAGATCACAAGCACCTGTGACATAATTGAAATATTTCTAGTAATCATTATCTGAATCGCTTTCAATGACATATGAACGAGTGTAGTTAATTTCTTCTCCAGTAATGGCTAACAAACAATGGTCACTGACCCCATGTAGTTCAGGGCGATAGTAAAGCGAATCTGGCCTGCTACTCACGGTGTCACGTCGAGACTTTCGAATACGATGAGTGTTCCAGTGCTCTGTGACTCCGTCTAAAATATTCTGTAGAAGCTTGGAAAAGCAAAACCAAAGGCACTCCTTTCCAAGCTCCAAGGTGAGATCAACTAGTCTTCCGTCCGCCATATCTTTGAAAAAGTTTATGCACTAAGTAGCTTTAGACTTGTTGAAGAAGCCTCACCAAGCCTCAATGCGTTGGTTTCGAGGTGATGCAACACATCTATGGCTATCTGGGTCATCTCTGAAAAAAGACTGTATGGCCGCAATAATTCCGTTTTCAGTACCTAGATCAGTAACGAGATCAACTGGGCACCCACCATACTCTTCAACAGCATGAAGAAAATAGGCTGCCACGTTGTTTGGTTGGTTGTTGGATCGGGTTACATATAACCACATGATCTTCCTGCTCCAACCATCTATGCAACCGTGAATCGGAAAACCGAATGGTTTTAGTTTATCGTAGCCATCGCAATGCTATGGGTAGTTCGGACCTGAGTTTTGATAAAGCCTCGTCCTCACCCGGTGGTGAGCTTTTCTTCCAGGTCCAACTCTCGAAGAAGTTCCTGTACAACGACGCGCGGTACTCTGGTGCCTCTTAGCTGTAGTGTGTGCCACACAGACCTGTATCCCTGTAAAGATCCATAGCGGTCAATATTAGTTTGGACAGATGCTCTGACCTGATCGATATTGTAGTCTGGTTGTTGTCTTCTAAGACCGTAGCTCTTGATTCGTCTTTTCAAGGTACTTAGGCTTATTTCAATGCCTTGGTTTTTCAATAGCAGCAAAATGATTTCTTTGTACTCAGAGGCTCTGAAAAAATAATATGGAATGAAGCTTTCTTCGCTGTCCTGCTCGGTGTTGTATTCCCCTGTCTCAAAGTCATCATGAAATTTT